AGAAATCACAATTATGCAGGTGTAAGTATCTGTGCTTTCTCTAGTACACTGAGTGCATAAAGTCCTGTCAACATAAGCAAGCAACAATAAACTTACACATGAACACTAAGAAATCATCAAAAGATGCGGGATTAAAGTTCCTGTCCAAAAAAATAAAAAAAGATGCAGGACTAGACCAATAGCAGGATGGATTGGCAGAGGTCATGCGACCTACAGTTCCATAAATACTATACTAGATATGTGTCTCCATGGCTTTTCTTCCATTGGACTGAGAATTGGCCTGCCACCAAGGCAGAATCAAACATCAAAACTCATCATCTATTTGTTCATATACCATTGAATTGTAAAAAAAAAAAACAGAAGTGGATAGATGGTTTTTTTAATTTTGCCTTCGGGTCTACTTTTGAGTGCTAGATTGATCATCATTTAATTGATTAATCATTTTGGTCTGTCTAGTAACTTCTTAATGGTCCATGATCATCGTCTTTTCCATGTCAATATTTTTCTTATCTCAAGTCAATTCTAGGAGTTTCGTAAAGCTTTGTTCTTTCTTAGGCTTTTGCTTCTTCTATTTTACTTAAATACTAATTGGGTCAGTGCAAATTTAACATTTAAAACCTTAGTCTTCAAAAGCCTAATAATTATTTCATAGTAAATACGCATTTTCAAAATTTCTATGAAGGCCAACTTCTCTTCTTCAAACAAGCATAAAACGTTATTCACATATGTATTCAATATCAGTGCACTTATTCTCTAACTTGAAAATGTTTTCCTCTTTTTCTTAACTAAAATCTCCTCGAGACCACACATGATTTTTTGGGCATTTTGTCTATGTGAAGATCTTGACATTACCAGTTGCATTTACTCCTGAAATCACATGGCCAAAATATTGCAAGATCTTGACATTACCAGTTGCATTTTCGTTTTTTTAATATGGTAAGGTGGTTTTATTAATCACCATATACCTCATTACAGACATTTTTATTAATCCATAACCCTACTGTTTGTTGGTGATAATGGGAACGATCTAAGAATGCTTTTAGTTCCCATAGATCAGAGGACGATTAAAACTTTGAAAAAAATTGACAACCGAGAAATTTCCGAGGTTAGAGGAGCATGATTTGAAACTCGGTGGATATGCACTTATACACCACAATTCGTTTTTGTCTGCATCAGGGTTCAAAAACCCACGATGTGCACCTAATCTACACATCACGGTCACTCTTATCACTAGACCAAAACCTTGGGGGCTAAAAAACTCAAATAATTTATTCTTCAATGAAACATGGAGATAAATTTTCTTGATCAAAAGAAGAAACGAAGGCACACGGAGATAAACTATGGAAAATAAAGGTTTTTCTACTGCATATAAGTTGAATAACCAAAAACAAACATAGTTATAAGGAAAAGATGATAAAATAAAAGATAACAATTATTACTTTACTTCAATAACTCCCACCAATAGCTATGAGGAGAAAAGGCTCTTTGATAGCTATGGAGAAAAGGCTCTTTGAAGTGAAATATAGGCCAAAAACTATGAGCATCTTCTCTTTCACCACCACTAGGTTTTGTCCTCTTTGACAGATAAACTCAATGAAGGTTTGCTTTAGCACATTAAAATTTTGCTAATTTTTGCAAAGGAAAAGACTATCTAAAGACAAAACTACAATATAAATTGAAAATAATTACCATTATGTGCAATGACAATTGCATCAAACTGCCCACAAGGCTTCTGCTTCTCACTCAAGTGCCACGTCCCATTAAATGGTTCAAGTGCGCTTACCCAACAAGGCCGTACCACATTGACCAAAGAAGTCTGCCCAACATATCAAACTTTTATAAAATTGAGGGGTAATAGCACCCCAAAAAAATGACGCGACCAAAACATAAAAGGACAGTGAAAAAGTGAAATTTCATAAACTTACAAACACAAACATTAAAGAATTCCACTAAGCATACATTCTCAACAAACAAATTTGAAGGGAGTTGTTTAGTTGAATGGAGGCATTATGAGAAGAACGGTGTTAAGTATTACACAAAAGGTTATGCACCTGAGATAGTAATGAATCCGCAAGTGGGCGCATTCCGTTGACCCCTATATATTTAGGAGGTGAAGAAGGAAATGGAACAAAATGCCCACCAACTTCAAGCTCACCAATTGTACCCTTCCATTCACGAACCAAATCTCTCTTCAACCAGTCATCAACTAGCTCAGCAAACTTGGGGTTGGTCACCGTGAAGAACTGAGCTGCATGGTCAAATATCAAAGGCTGATGATCAATCATTCTTGTTCCCATTCTTCCTCCCAACCCATGTATTCCCTAAAGCAATCGAACATGATAAGAAGATACACCATAGCATTCTTCTACTGTGCATCACCATATAACTCTACGGATAACTGTCAAACAATTATAACAAACCAGCGGCACAGATAGTAATTGTTTTAATGAATGTTTGACAGCGTAAAATGTAAAACTTAGCCATACATATTTAGAGAAGAAACAAATGGCATAGATAGTAATTTTTTTAGAGAAGCCAACTTTATACTAGTTTTGGTTTCAAATCATTCAAACACAATTAAATACTTGGACTACTACATTCATGGTCATGTCAAAACAAAATGTAAACTGAGATGGAGGGAGTACTATACTCCCTCGTCCCAATTCAGGACACAAAGTTTAAAAAATAAAGGGACACTTTTGAATCTTGTCATCTTTAATTACAGAATTGTGTAGTCCTTTAAATCTTGTGGTCTTAAACTTGAAGATAATATGTTGTAATTGAAAAACTTACTAGATATAGAAAGACACACTCTTTCTTGGACAGTTTCTTTCCAAGGGAAGTAAACATTATCACAAACGGACTAAAACAATGCAATGTGAAATAGATTCAAGAACGCATAAAAGGGGAAAAGAATAATAGCCAACCGTGTCGAAAACGGTCGATCGAATGCCTCTTTTCTCCAAGTAAAGAGCACAGGTAAGACCAGACATTCCACCTCCAATAATCCCAACCACGGGGTCATCAGGAATGGGTTTAGTAAAATTAACTTGTTCTTGACTGAGACTTTTCTTGATAGTTGATCTTCTTGAAGTTCCATATCTGGGTTTGAATTTTCTTGGACTTGTGCTTCTTCTCTGTGTGGGATTCCTGGACTCCATACATCCCTTAATGCTTGATTTTATCGGATTACAGCGATTTGGGGTAATGGGGTTTGAAATAATGGGGAAGAAAATGGATACATTTGGGAACCTTGAAGATTTGAGAGGTTGGTGAAGGAAGGAAGAAGATAGAAGGGGGTTATTGCAAGCGCTGTTCATGGAGGGATTGGAGGGAAAAACGAAGGGCTGAGATATTGAAGAAGACAACTTAAGGATAACGCTATTGTTATTCTTTTGTTATTTATATACGACTAAAAAACCAATATCATAATGACACTTAAGATGACGCTATTGTTATTTAACTTATCAAAAACATGAATCATTTCAAGTGAATTATATATTAAAAGAATTGAAATATTTAAAAAAAACTATATTTAAACTTTTGTAACCTTTTAAAAGAAATTTTGAGTTGATCAAGATTAAACAGTTGTATATACTTATCTATAGTTTGTACATATAGTTAAGTTGTATTCAGTTTTTTTAGTGTATCACAATATATAGTTAGTGTATAGTTCATGTATATGTATGCTTTATTGTATAATCAACGTATGTTTTCTATGACTTTTGACAAGCTATATTATATAGTTAGTGTATATATTTTCTATTATTTTGACAAAGCTATATTGTATAGTCAATGTATACTTTTTTATGATTTTTGGCTATTTTGTATGTAAATAAAACATGACTATATTTATCGTAAATGAATATGAAATCCCAATTTAGAAATATTATCCAAAATGCCATTCAGCTTAGAAATTAGAAGTTTACTCATAATTAAAGAATCTCACTTTCCACGGTGAAGTAAATATAGGAGCTTGTGTTCACACGGTTTCAATATGTGTCATTTTATATCTCAATTTATGTTGTACAAATAAAATTCTGAAAGTTGAACAAATTTTTATATATGTTTGAAATTGTTAATTATTGATTTATAATTTATCAGTCTCATTGTCCCAATTCGTGTGGGACGGATAGAATTTGGAGAGCCAACTAAATTTTTTGTATGGTTTTTAAATTGTTAATTATTGTGAATGATTTTTTTTTTTAACGTAGTATTCAAATAATATATGTGACTCCTTTTGTCTCAAATTATGTGACACTAATAAAATTTTGAGAGTCATTCAAAATTTTAATATTATAAGTTGTTAATTATTGTAATTTTATAGTACTTTTGACGTAACTTTCAAATATATAATCTAATATTTTCAGTTGTTCACTATTGTTCAAATATATAATCAATTAAAAGGGAAAGTAAGACAAATATTTAAGCTGAATACTAAATTTTTCAGAAATAAGCCCCACATATTTTGAGCAAATCACCCTCAGCTACAAACACATAACTCAAGCACACATGTCGTCTAAGAATTGTATACTTATAGGCTCTTATTAAATATTAGTAATATAGTGAAAATAAGTTTCATAAACAGTATTTAACCCCCCTCCCCAGCATACACCCTTGTGTACTATCGCTATCCCCATTACCACACACACTATCCTAATCGCTGCTATTTGTCTTAGATTTTATGTAAATACTTTTGGAATAATATTTTCGACTTACCTATTGAACACAAGATACTCCCTCTAGTTCAATATAAATATTTTTTTTATGGCCAAACAACTCCGAAAAAAAAACAAAAAATATTTCATGACCAACACGTACAAATCACACAAAATTAGGCAGAATATAACAAAGACGGCATACAACAGCGGAGCAAGAAATATACAACAACAACAACATAACAGTGAAATCCCACAAGTGAGGTTTGGGAAGGGTAGAATGTACGCAAACCTTACCCCTACCTCATGGAGGTAAAGAGGCTGTTTCCGAGGAGCAAGAAATATGAGTAAGGAAATTCAAATTATGTCAACATAGTAATTTAAGATGGCATAAAAATGAAAATAACATGGTTTGGTTTCTTTTCAAAATGATGAGCAGCCAAACAGCCATTTATGCCTCTCAGATCACAACTCCATAGGATCCTTTTATAGGACAATATTACAATCTGTCGAACTATATATCAGGGTACAATATATCCCCTCTTCTTTGACATGGTTTATCTACCTTTTTTTTTTTTATAGCTATGCTGGTTCAGTGTGACCCTTGCAGAAGACCTCAGCGCAACGACAAACTGGTCTACCAGAGGACTCCCATCCATTAAAACCACGCTCCAATACCATAATGTTTTTTATTCCCACATCATCTTTCGATTCAGCTAGATATTCTGCAAGCCTCCTTGCACATTTTGGTCCTCGAACCTAGAAAATAGTCATTCACAACTCAATAAGTTCATTCATATGTGAAAACAAGAGACGTGAATAGGAGGTATTATTCTCCTCTTGTACGACACAATTCAACACGATAAATGAATAGTTCTTTTTGAAGATTATGTAATATTCAGTTTCCATTAACATACCACGCTTGCATTATGAAAGAACTTTTGTAGAGAAAAAGTTGTTAGGGAGAAAAGTAACTATTTGTATTTATTAGCTTAATATAAATTAAAGCCGAATGGAAGTACTACTACTTGCACTATGAGAGAAAATCAAGTATGAGAAATATTCATAACTACTACAAAAGTTAGAATTTGAGTTAAATAAGTTATAACATAACCATTCCATAACTCTAGACAATATTAGACATTTTAGCTCGTTCGATCTTTGAAAAAATCCATGACTGTAATGTATTACCGTGCACACAAGGTAAAACCCTCACTCCTATGCAATAGCTCGCAAACCACACATGAGAGGTAAATCTGTAATGTAATATTAAACTGGTAAGGTACAGTATTATACCTTTAATGTAGTATACGAGTACTCTCTCTCTCACACTTAACACTTCTGTGCAGTGTTGTGCACTACGCTTAGAATCACAAGTGCAATTTCAAAAACCAAAAGCAAGAATTAACATAGCATGACCCTTCAGGGTTTAAACTATTGCTATTTTTCACAGTTTTGTGAAAGCAAGCCTAATTTTAAAACTTTACCTCCTATTTCTAGATTTATTTGTTGTAATTACAAGTTGACGCCATCAGCTATCAGTTGTCTCATTTCCAGGTTTACTCCAGACTAGCAGCTCTGCAAATTACACCTTCATGCTTCTGATAATCACAGCCTAGGATATTGCATTGCCTTTCTCTATCTCTCTAGTCTAACGGTCTACCCTAATCTTTCTGCATACTTTATTCATTGAACTTTTAGTTGTTGCTTCATCCATGAGATTGACATATATAGCAAAATAATGATACAAATGACATATCCACCAATGCTAGCACAAAGAGTTAGGAGATGCTTCATCTTCTCCTTTATTGAAATGGATATACATTCCAAAGAGACCACTAAACAAAGTTTAATCAACTTTTTTATCATAGCTTTATATATGACCCATCAATGTCCCCCACACAATCCTTCTGAATTTCGAATAATCCGTAAGATCGGATTGAGGAATACAGAATGTTATTGGAAGAAAAAAAAAGCTCGCCAACACGTTTTAGTTAATGGTTAAATGGTAAAGGACAGAGCTAGATATCTTATCAGAAGTTGTACCCACCAAATGAAATTAAAGCATTGTGCAGCAGAAGTATCTCTCAAGATTTTACAAAGAGAAAAATGCTGCAATTTGTTCCTGAAGATTCCAAACATGCGGAACTATGTATAATATAATGACTGTCGAGTGATCATCCGAAGTTGGAGAACAATATATCCTTAATTTGTTATTAACCAAAGAGTAAAAGCTTTTGGTGGTAGGTAAAACTCATGGACGGAAATTGTAAGCCTATGCCAAACATGTAAGTTGATCAATAGTGCACGCTGCATAGTACAATCTGAACAGTCAAAGATTGGAACAAATAACTTTTTTGAGAAGGTAGATTGGAATAATAACTTCAGGAACCAAATTTTTGAATCCCAGCAAAGCCGACAGCCCTAACACCACCATTTGGCGTTTAGGGGGAAAAAGTTAGGTATTTGTGACTTGTGAGGACTCAAGGATTGTTACTCTGGAGCAATTCCAGAACAAAACCAAGCTTTGAAGGTTTATACTAAGGCATAATGTGCTTTCAGCAAAGAGACAAAGATATCAGTGGCATGATTACTTTTAGTCTACTATTCACTTCACAACACTCTAAGAATTTACTGAAGGGGTCCAGAAATTTCTGGCATATTACATGTTAACTGAACCTTGGATCCCCTCCATGCGCTATAATTAATTTTAGGACTACACTACCTAATATTTCAGAGAAGCTTGTAGGGTATGACCGCATGAAAGTGACATAAGCTTGATATTAGGAAGGACACTTTAGCAATGATGAATATTCATAATTAGGGAGAAAATAAGATGAGACTCTCTAATTAGTCTTTCCCTGCTTCATTGTGTATCTTTACTGATCTCGATATCTCTAGTTCCACCAACTGCAATAACTCTAAAAAGTTATTTCTCCGACTAGTAGCAGTTGAAAATCCTATAACACCGTCCTTTCCATAGTTTTGACCAATTCAAAATTCAAGCCAATAATCCCTACATATACCAATCAATTGAAAACCAATAAGGAGATGTGCAGAAACTTATAGAGTGATGAAGATATAACTGAGAATCCAACCAGATACAATCTTTACCAAACACAATATGGATAATGTAAAGATCTGACACTTGGGCTTAACTCAACCCTAAAAGCTAGCTCAAGGGGATGATTGCCAAAGTCCATATAAGCAGATCATCCAACCAATGTGGTGCTCTAACCCACTTTAACTGTTTAACAACTCCTTAATACAGGCTCAAACAAGGATGGACTTGGTTCCGATACCATGTACATATATGACAGTTAGGCCTAACCCAATCTCAAAATATAGCTCAAGAGGAAAGGATGGTCAAATCCACATAAACAGATCACAAGGAAACAAGATAAGTTCACAATGCCATTAGCAGCTTAATAAAGAAATGCATCAACAACAGATAAACAAAAAACCCCAAAAAGGAATCTGTGCAGGAAACTATAGAATGATCAAAGATAGAATCTTTAACCAAAAACAGAAATACCCAATTAAGGAAATAGAAAACAGATAGATAAACACCAGAAAGTGAGTAAAAAGTACTAAACAAGATTCAAACCTGGCTAAGAGCACAGTGGAAAACAAGGGTATCTTTGCCATTAGCAGCTTGAATAAGACTGGGTATTTTATCAAGAAAAGTATCACTTGCAAAGTGAAGCGACCCAGCTATGTGCCCATCGTAGCTCCTCTCATCATCTCTGCAAATTTGAGGCCAAAAAATCAAGAAATCGATATGGGGTTTGGCAGAAAATATACAGAGAGATCTAGAAAATTATGTAAGTGGGAATTGAGCTTTGTAATGACCTGACGTCGACGATGGCGATATTTGGACGGCGTTTGAGAGAGAGAAGCTGGGAGCCTGTGATGTATGAGATGCTCCTAGCCATGGGTTCCTCCTGTCTTTGGCTTGTCAAGTTTCTCCAAAAACAAGAAAACATGGACAAAACAAAGGAAAATAATAGTTACAAAATTGAAGATAATTTTCCTTTAATATGTAACCAAGGAATATTATCATAAAATACCCACTAACATTAGTTTATTTAAGTATGAGAAAATTTCAAAAACAACTAAGACTTTTGAAATATAATTAGGCTTTTAGTTATAGTTGGTTTTATTACAATTCGTAGCTATGTATTAAAAGGAGGAGGAAGGCGAGCGGGATTTGGGAGAGAGGAGAGAAACATAATTGATTTGTATAATGTATCACAAATATAATTGATTTGTATAAAAAAAAACTAGCTACTAGAAGGAGGAGAGAGACGAGTGAGATTGAGAGAGGGAGGAGATACGCGAACGAGATTTGAGAGAAAAAGGAGTGAGGCTGGAAAGATACAAATGAATTTGTATACCTGATTGATAATTGTATATCTAGCCGATAATTGTACCACGAATACAATTGATACAACTGATTTTGTAATAATAAATATAATTGTATCAAGATTATTGTGTCCAATTCATTGATGCAAATCAATTTTGTCAAGCATATTAACGAACATATTTTTTATTCAAATATAATTTGTATCGGTGAATACAATTGTATCAACAAATACAATTGTATTATTGTTGTAATTCGTAACAAATTATAGTTGTATTCATGTGCATTTTTATTCATCTTTAGCCTTGTGTATTGTATTCATGTGTTACCATTTATATTTATGTCATTGATTATTACATTTTGTATTAGTATGGTAGAGAGATAGGACGAGGAAGAGGAAGAGGCAAAAGAGAGAGGAGAGAGGCAAAAGAGAGAGACTGGAAATGAAAGAGGCAAAAGAAAGAGGAGAGAGGCAAGTGAGAGAACACAGAGATAGAGAAAGGAGACAGACGAGTAAGGGTGCAAAGAGAGGAGAAAGGTGAGGGAGGTAGGGAGGGTGGAGAGATGAGAGATGAGAGACGAGAGATAAATTTGTTATAAAATCATAACTATAGCTACAAATTGTAATTCTTCTAAACTGTAGTTATAAATAATAAATACACATCATATATTTGTCTTCTTATGTAATTTTTCTTTAAGAATCTACTAGTGCACACCTGACATTAAATGACATTAGTATATGTTGAGGTCAAATTAACAAATATGTTTATATATTATCCCAATTATATTAAACAATATAATAATATGGCTAATGTAATCTCAAAAGTGGAAAAAATAACGTGTATACAGAAAGTATTTGCAAAATCAAAATATATTAATTTCTTATCTTATAAATATAATTTAATAAAGTACGATTATATACTGCTATGAATTACAATTAAAATACAACGACAAATAAAAAACTAAGCTCACACAAACTCATAATAAGAAAATGAGGAATTTAAAAGAGGAGGGGACTCTGATTGTTTGGGTTTGAAAGAATCAAATGAAAAAAATAATATTATGATCCTTTGTTAAGTTTTGCTTTCTCTCTTGCATATAAGAGCCGTAATAATTTATTTACTTTTTTTACCACAAATATTCTTCCTATCCTACTATGATTTCAAGAACAAGAATACATACAAATAGTAAATCTTTATTTATATCTTTTATTGGCGTTCTTTATTTAAAACTCAAATTCAAAATAAATTGAGTTTTGCCTGAACCCTTAGTTTTTTTCAATGTGAAATCCCTGATTGTTGCAACTTGCATTCATATACCAATAAAAAAAAATCATGCTCCTTAAGTCGTGTAATTGTCACTTATATCGCAAAATAAATTGCAGTACTCCCTCTATCTCTAATTACTTATCCACTTTTGAATTGACACACCTATTAATAAAATAACTAATGACATAATGAGTTTACCAGCTTTGCCCTATTAATTATGAAGTGAATGAATTAAAACTTAAGATTTTCAAGAAGTTCTATCTTTTTCAAAGTAATTAATTGAGGGTATAATAGGAAATTTTTTTGTTCTTTCTTGATTTGTCAAAATGGACTAGTAATTAGGAACAACTAAAAAAGAAAAAATGAATAAGTAATTAGGGACAGAGAAAGAGTACTAAACTACTTAACCAATTTGAACAGCAAAATTAAATTGAAACACTATTGAATATACTACGTATATTATTTTACAAATAACAATCTGATCATACATTCCTACGGCGAATCTCTTCAATTTACAATCCATTTGTAGCAACCGATGATCAACATCAAATCTCTTTCGGCTTGAAGACCATCACCAAAATTTACAGTTCTTTTGATGCTTGCAATAGCGATTCGTGCTGCTTCCCTATCTCTTTCCCGCAACTTTACTTTTTCTTCTTGCAACTGCTTCTCCCACAATGCAGCCTTTTTCTTCATCTTTTTTTCATCAAACGCTTTGCCAAGAATTTGTTTTTGGGATTTCATGATCACGTTAGCATACCGTTTCTTTAACATTGTGGCTCTAAGAATCTTGTTGTCCTTTTCCAACGTCTCAACATCACGAATCGCCATAACTACGTAGCTAATTACCTATAAAGATCGAAGAATATTGTAACAATGAACAAATAACCCTAGCTTATAGTAATGTAGATGAAAAATAGGTAGTAAGGTAAAGTATAATATATATATACATATAGTTATCCATTTTTTGTATTGGAAAAGGATTACCAAAGTTTCCTAAAATTAATTAGGAAAGTAACAAATATGGAAACTTTTCAAACGCGTAATTTTATTTTATTTTGTTCCAGAGCTCAATTTTTTATTTTTTATTTTTTTTTATTCCATTGCTCAATCAAAACTAGCATCTTCATGTTTTATCTTCTGAAATCCTTTTCGAGGCATTCAGCATTTGGAACTTGGAACAGTGATTTATCACATGACACTAAAAATTTTCTTTTTAAAAAAAAAAGGTAATTCACATAGCAATTGGATAAGTTTCTTATACAGAGTAGAAAGAAAAAAAAATTAGCTACTAGAAGGAGGAGTAGAGGACAGAGGCGAGAGAGATACAATTGATCTGTATACATGATCGATAATTGTATATCTAGTTGATAATTGTATCACGAATACAATTGATACAATTAATTTGTATCAATGAATACAATTTTATCAAGACTATTGTATTCGTAATTTGTTACTACAATACAATTGTATCGTTATTCTAATAGGTCACAAATTATATTTGTATTCATGTGCATTTGTGTTCATTTGGTGCCTTGTGTATTCTGTTTATGTGTTACCATTTATATTTGTATCATTAATTGTTATCATTTATATATGTATTGTGGACAAAGAGAGGAAAAGTCGAGACAGAAAGGGCAAAGAGAGAGAGGGGAGAGGCGAGTGAGAATATGGAGAGGGAGAGAGAAATTGCTATAAAATCCTAATTATATCTATAAATTATAATTCTTTTAATATATAATTATTTATATATTATCGCTGACCAACTTAATGAAATAAACACAGAGAAACAAACACTCTGACTACCTATATCGAGAAAGGCAATATTATATCAGTTCGAGAAAATATGTAAATAAAATATCTAATTTTGGAAAGACCATGAGTTCATATGTATCATAAATTGCACAATAAATTCACCCATGTTAACATTTTGCACCAGAGGCGGAGCTAGTATTAGGAGTTTGGGGGCTCTAAATTTCTTTCCTCTTCCTTAACATTGAGTTGTCAATCATTTTTGTTAGGGGTTCACAAGTTATTACTTAATTTTCTAGTAAAAATATAGGGTCTACGGAATAGCTACTGAATTCGTCCGAACCCACAAAGCCCTGCCTAGCTTCTTCCGTGATTTGCACACTCAATCAATTTGAACAAAGTTAAATTGAAACAAAGTATACTCTAATTATTAAGAGTAATAAGATTGAGATAATTAAGTACATCATACAACTAAAATTATCTCCTGTTGGATTAAATATATTCACTTGTCATGATTATCATCAACAAATAAGTATATGAGAAAAATAAACTAATGAATATACTACGTATATTATTCTACAAATATCAATCCGGTGATATTACTACACGGAAACTCTTCAATTTACAATCGATTTGGCGCGACAATGATAAACATTAAATCTCTTTCGGCTTGAAGGCCATTACTAAAATTAACTGTCCTTTTGACGCTTGCAATAGCAATTCTCGCGGCTTCCCGTGACTTTATTCTTTCTTCTTCCAACTGCTTCTCACACAATGCAGTCATTTTCTTCATCTTTTTTTCATCAAACGCTTTGCCAAAAAACTTGTTTTTGTGATTTCATCATCACGTTAGCATAGCGCTTCTTTAACATTGCTGCCCTAAGAATCTTGTTATCCTTTTCCAACGCCTCAACATCAAGCATCGCCATAACTACGTAGCTAATTTCTAAAAATCTAAGAATCGGAATCACCGGACCCATTTTTTCTGGAACAAGAATTTAGTCGGGCCTTCTAAATTGATTGTGTTATCAGAATTGGGTCTACTGGTATCGAATCCAACAGAGCTTTCTATTGATTATGATCTGGTATATATCGGTTTGAAACACCCCCCCACCCACACACACACCATTTTATTTATAAAAAATATTTTTTTCTTTATCTTATATTCTTAAAAAATAGTTTTTAAAATATTTATTGACCTAATAACTTATTAAGATTTTGTATAATTATACTTTAATTTTTTTTGTAAGTTTTCCTTCATTGATTTAAAATAGTTAGTAAGTTAGTACTTAGATTAAAAACACTAGTTTTACAAAAAAAATTGAGTTTATCTAATTTTTTAATAAAATTTTAAACTTTTTAAAAGTTATAGAATTAATTTTCAAATTGAAAATTATAAAAATTGTAAGTTTAGTAAACTTTGAAACAACAAAAAATAGTGAACATTAAGAAATTTATGAAGTTAAGCTAAGCTAATTAAGAAATATAAATTCAATTTTATAGTAGACCAATGTTAAAAGAGTTGAAATTGAAATGTATAAAATAATTTGCATTAAATAAAAGACTATTATAAAAAAAATCAAGGCGAATAGCCTATATATTTATTCAAATAAATAAAATAATACATGTATTACAAATACATGATGCAGCCATCTTTCAGGAAGGGTTCTATTTGAACTAGGTCCCTATTATCATACTAATATTTATAATTTTTGAAATATTATTTTCGTATATAATACATATTCCTTTTACTATGAAACTTTTAAATTTGTAAGAACTTGTTCAAGCAACTATGCATATATGGCTGCAATGTGAGATCCTGAAAGAACAAAAGTATAGCTTAGAGTCTTTTTTTTGCCAAATCATAGCTGGAAAAGATAGATATGATTTCAGTGTTCTGTTGTTCCAGTAAGTACAGTGAAAATACTACAGCACAAGAATATAAACATGCTTTGAATCACCAAGAAGCCTAATGAATGCCAAAAGAACAAATGATTACAACAGGAATAAGAATGAATTTTCGTATTCAGACCTTGTATGATATGCTGAGATCAAAAAGTGACATTCCGTTGTCACTGATTGTCAAAAGACGCTACTGGTTGGTTAGTGATTCTCTCATCTGCATTATCGAGAACATAAAATTCCACGGCCAGGACAGATAATTTATTTGCATTGCTAATCAGCTGGGATCCCTACGCTTTACTCTACTCTTCATCATTTCAGCCCATCTAGCAAAGAGACTTGAGACCTCAAACTTCCCAGAGAATTTCATCCTCTTAGCCAACTCCTCCAGTATATCAGGCCTACCACCCCGAGAAAAATCAGCAGCAAATTTGTTGTAGTCAAGTTGAGGTGCTTTCATGCCTTTGTCTATCATTTCCTCCAAGTATTTACAAGCCTCCATAGATCGTCCTTGCCCTATAAGCCCTCCAATGAAGACGGTGTAAGAATTTTCATCTGGACAGCAACCCCTCAGGCTCATTTCCTCCCAAGTTGCATGAGCCATGTCATAGTTCTTTGTCATGAAGAATGATTTCATCAACATATTGTAAGTGTGAATAGTAGGTTGAATTCCATTTCGGATCATCTTTTTGTATAAAGTAACCGCATCATCTGGCATTCGTCGATTTATTATTAATTTGATCAGTGCATTATACAGTCTTGCATCAGGTGGGCATCCTTTTTCCTTCATCTCCCTCAGCAATGCAAAGACTTTATCCATCTTCTTTTTATTTCCAAAGCCTGTTACCAAACAGGTAAAAGTTGCAGCATCTGCCTCACATCCAGAGCTAAGCATTTCCTCAAAACCGGCAACTGCTTCATCCATCTTACCCTGCTTACACAAATCCCGGATCAAGATCGTATAACTTCTTGTATTAGGCGATGGACCCTTTGCTTTCATAACCTCAAACAGCTTGATCGCATCAGACCTTTTTTTACACTTTAACAGCCCTTCCAACATTGTGTTATGGGCGACAATATCAGGCTTAAAACCCTTATCAATCATCTCATTCCACACTTTACCCGCATCCATCAGATTCTTTACCCTACACCATCCATTGAGCAAAACTGTATATGTTAGTAAATTTGGTGTGAATCTATGCTCCAATTTCTCAAACAATAATTGCGCTTCTTTCCCAAGCTTTGCCCTTCCCAGGGCATCAAGTAAACAATTAATTGTCTCCACCCCAACTTTAAACTTGTACTTCTTCATCAACTCAAACATCCCAATAGCTTTCTTCCGCTCTTTTGCTGCAGCAAATGCTTTCATGGAGATCAAAAATGCCTCCATTGTAAGCAAACCTTTCTCCCCCATTTCTTCAAGAACCGAAACCATAGTCTCAAACTGCCTCGTCTTTCCAAGTATTGCCATCATTGCATTATACGTTCTTGAATCATGAGCATACCCTGGCCTCTGAGCCGCCCAACAAAAGAATCTGAATGCTGGTTTTCTAGCATGCTTGAACCTCTCCAACACATCTACTACCAAATCATGGCTTAAATTGATCCCACATTCATCCAAAACAGCCTCCATATTCCGATCTAACGAAAACAACTCATCAATAACCTTACACACCCTATCCACCTCTTTAGGATCCGCCTTCGACACCGCCACCCTCTCATCACTCTCATTCTCAACATCATTATCACTTTCTAATTCACCATCATTATCAACACAACTACAAATTCCCCTAAAACTCAACTTCAAATTCGAATTAATACCAGTACAATAAAAATACCCTTTTGATGAAAAAGGCCATATCTTTCTGGAATTACTAAATAACGATGTACAGAGTGAAGTTTGTACAGTGCTAAATTGCTTAGTATTCAACTCCAAAAACTTCACATCTGGATGAGTATTAGTAAAATTAAAACACCCTTTTGGCAAAAGAGGCCAAATCCTTCTGGGATTACTCAATGGCAACTTTTCTTGAAAAAAACAGAGTGAAGTGGGGTGTGGCAAAAGAGATGAAACTTGACAATGAGAAAAATGGATACTACAATGAGCAAGAGAATGATACAAACGAGACAAGGGCAGAGAGCTACCAAGAAGACGGAAGGCTTGCTCTCTTCTTCTAAATCTTCCTCGTAGGCTTGCAGCTTGTTGGTCATCATCGAGAGAGGATAACTGGGTGGCGGCGCTGTTGAGGAGTTGATGGCCATTGAAGTTGAGCAGTGGAATTGTGTGCGCAGAAGGCTTAAAGATTGCAACTTTTTCAAGATTCCTCATGGAAATAGCCATTGGGAGTCCATTGAAAGTGGAGGAAAATTGCCACCGAGTTGGGATTTTTGTGCTGGTTTTGCAAGATCGCAGCGGCGAGATTTGGGCCTATTGGGGATTTCTGACTAATTAAGATTATGACTTTGTGAGAGTTGCACTGTGCATTGTAACTTGTACACTATCTTGTTCTACTAAATTAGTTGCTTAAACTTGTCAAGATATTTCATTTATACATTCTAACTAAGTTCCGTCTTTAATGAAATACTCCTAATAAAGTGTTCCAATTAAATATTCTGAATTTTTTCTTGTATGTGATCTCCTTCGTCAATTAAGTTGTTAAGTTAACCACATAAAATATGTCATCTTCTTTCCATTTTTAATTAAACACTCCGTCCCAATGAGACATTTTGAATTTTTTTCTGGTACGTGTTCTCTTTTGTCAATTATGTTGTTAGGTTAACCACATAAAATATGTCGATCTTCTTTAATCGTATGCATTCGCCTCAATAAGTCATAAAACCTTATGTGTTTTCTACGTAAGGTTGATGCGTATAATTAAAGAATGTTATATTTTATGTGATTAACCTAACTGCTTAATAGATGAATGAAACATGCATGAAAAGTTTTTCGAATTTTTGTGAGAAATTGATTTATTTATTTAAGTAGAATTAGATAGTTGATTTTACATAGTACAAACAGTAATTTCAAACTTATTAGACATAGTATATTCCAGAAGAAGAAAGTGATTATAAGATTATCTTACAGCAATAACAACTAGAATGCTTGAATTTCAAGTTAACTAAAATCGATCATATGAATCATCACTAATCATGTCGCAGCATATTTCCATGGTAGCTTTTACTGAAATTCACTAATTTGATTGTACCCTTTAGCGCCCACCACTGAACTCTTGCTGCTTCTTCACTCTACTATTTTTGTAATGAGTAACTGATAACAGCATGTCAAAACAAGAATCATTTCACCTTAGCAAATTATGCCACAAAAGTATCCTACAAAGCAACAACCTTTATGATTATATCCTTATCAAATGATGATTTTTATCTTTCTAAATAGTATAATCCAAATAGGCAAAAAGCATATCAATTTATAGAAGAAAATAACTGATTGCTATCTGTTACTACCAAGTTTGCAGTACAGACTACAGACCAAACAATAGTATTATCTAAGTACACATTAATTAATCATGAAGTGATAAACGTTTGACAAAAACACATATCATGTATTTATTCGTTTAATACGAACACCCTTTTATCCCTTTGAATAGAAGAGAAAGATGGGAACACAGCAATTCACTAACCGAGTGTCGTCGAGCACAAACTGTCCAGCCATCTTTTGGAGATATATAGAGTACTAGTCACTCAATAGATGGGCAAGGAAACAGTAAGACAACCCAGCCAAACTGTTCTTAAAGTTATGTTTATAAACAAAATGTTCAACAGGAGTCTCTTTCTATGTAACATATGTACCAAATGAAAATTACATATAATATACAACACAGTTTCAAAGCATCACTTCAACAAGTCATTGCCGAGAAGAAAGGACGAAGGCCAATTTGACCTTGCCTGGAACATCTCGATTCGATGATAAACTACAAAGAAAAAGAAAAAGGAAATGAAAAAGAAGACTAATTGCTCAATGCTCATGATTGAGCAGCAGTTTCTTCAGACACTTGCTCTGTCATTGTATCAGAAGCCTCCTTCGTCTCTAAGACGGGAATTTCCTTTATCTCCTTGACAGAAGCTTTGTTTGTCACCTTAACCAGAGCTTCCTCTGTCTCTTTCATTGGAGTTCCATTTGACTCTGCTATTGGAGTTTCCTTTATTATCTCCTTAATTGGAGTTTCCTTTATCTCCTTAATTGGAGTTTCCTTCATCTCCTTCAAAGGGGATTCTTTTTTTGCTTTCACCAACTTTGTAGGTTCTTTGACTCTAGGAGTTCCATTACTGATTCGACCACTCACACGATTTTTGCTTTTGGGGGTGGGTGGGGTAGGACTGCCTTGTTTGTAAACACCAATGCTGTGACGACCCTTTGCAGAAGCTTTCTTTTCTTCAGGAGATGCTCCAACTGCATCACTACAGCTCTTTCTACGGGTTAGATTTGGTGATTTGGCACGAGTGACTGGCAGCTGCATGCAAAGCAGGAACATTTTTATTTGCTTACAAGGATACAAACTCAATCTAGTCCATCAGAAAAAACAGAATTCAAGGTTGTTGCATGATTGTTTGATCAATTACTTAGGGAGTAGAAGACTCATTTAGGTCTAAATTACACTCAAAATATGCCATTTGTAGAGTCGAGTTGCTTCAGTTATGTCTAATACCATCCCTTTCGAACAAAGACTAAACATGCAAACAGAACACATGCATTCCACAATTGATTGCACTAACTAGTATCTTCATGTTTTATCTTCTGAAATCCTTTTTGAGGCATCAACATTTGGAACTGTGATTTATCACATGGCATTAAAGTTAAAAAATTGGTCATTCATATTGTATGCTAGCCAAAGCCTTAACTTCATTGGACAAGTTTCTTATACAGGGTATAAGGAAAAACATTAGCAATAGGGAACCAACTTCCAACTATAAACAAAGAGTATATATATACGTGAAGAGTACCTTCTTAAGTTCAGCCTTTGGAGGTGGCCCTTCACGGTAAAAATTAGGAACTGGATTTGCTCTGTAGGACATGGCCTTTCTAAGCTGTTTAATTGCTGCCTCTTCCTCTTCCTAGAATTTGTAGAGAATAAGTTAGGGGTCAATTATCTTACTTCACGACATGTCATTTTTTCTCCCCACCAGGCATAAGAAGTTGGGGCAGTCAAAATGTTGTGAGAAACTAATACATGCATGCTACAATATAATACCTTTGTTCTGGCTGCATATTCTTGTTTCTCCGCCTCCAGAGCTTTGTGTTTTTCCTCTAACTTTGTGTAATACTAGATAATAAAATGAGAAAGATTGAGATAGCATCGTTTGTTGAGAAAACAAAGCACAATTACAAGTTAATTATGAACGAGGAGAGGAGCTTGTAAGAAGTTTGAACAAGAATTTCATTCAAAATTTCAGGAAAATACCTCTTGACGTCTCGCTGAGCGTTCAGAACATTTAAATGATGGAGCTACAGGAACAGTAACCTTGGACCTAACTGTCCGCACAGAAGCTGCAGTTCTATGAAAGATAAGGAAGATTTTCCCAGAAGAACAAGTAAAAAAAACAGAAATTTTTAATAGTGAAGTCTGCAAAAAGAGGAATTAGAAGTCCAATAAAAGGATACGAGGAAGCCAAAGACCAGTTATCATCTTCATCCTGAATCCGCAACTTCCTTGTCATCATGGGAGAATTTTGCTGCAACAAGATAAATAATTCTCAAGATCAGTGGTCTGATCATCAGGGCACAAGAATTACATGACATCAGAGGATAAACAAGTATTATATAGTGTTATGAAGGGTGTAAAATAATGACATCAAAAGACTGAATTATGAGTAGTATGGAAGCCTGATAAATTCAAACAAGATACTGAATATGCATTCGGTTCAGATTGCAGTAAATTATCGTTCTGCTTGCTGCAGCCGACTTCTTTTGTCCTTCTTCATTCAGTAGCTAACTCACTTAAGTTGCAATCCTAAATCAATCTATCTACTTTTCGGCAAAACACGAGTCATGATTTGCTGAAAGTTCCCTGCTAATGTTACTGTGATATCAACATCAGAATTTAAGCCTATTTTGTTTACATAGTAATGAGTTTGGAGTTTCCCACTAAGCATCCAGACAGCATCATAGAATTTAAATCTTGACATATTTATAGAGGAGTGAGAAGTTATCCATTAAGCATCAACTCATTCCAGGCTATTCATTTTACCACCCACCCCACCCCCCAAAACACCACCAAAACCTACAGAAAAGAAATATATGGTCTGGATTTTAGGCTGGTTCAAAAATACGTTAAACTTTGTCAGATAATCAAAAGCAGGATTTAGCAAGCAGTTTTCTGGACATCTTTGAGCTGCAAATAAAATCCACGGCCCCTTACAAATGCCATCCTTTATACGGTGGCAAATAACCAAGAGTCCAGCTTATAAGGACTGCAGCATATTCCAGATTGTTCGTATCAATTAAAAGCAACAAAATCTTACATGCAATTTTTGTGAAGTCATAGGAGACTGCAGATCGATGGACTTTGATGAACAATTCGAGCCAGCATCAACAGTCTGAGTGCCATTTCCATGATTTTCAGATTCATTCCCTGATGAATTCATAACTGGGGGGGCTGGACTTTCAGTTACTGCAGTAGAATCAGATGAAGGATTCATTGGTGAGCCCAACTTCTTGTCACTGGACTTCACAGCCTCAGTCTTCGTAATTTTTGCCTCAATCGGGTCAGGTTCACAGTTGGTGCTTTTCACAGATAGTACATCCTGCTTCTCATGGGATTCCTCCACATGTGTGCCATTTGCAGTGTGATCCTCTGCCTCAAACTCCTTTGCTTCAACCCTTTCCTTGGCGATTCTGGGGGCAACATGAACTGCACCATGGGTGACACCATTTGGCTTAACACTAGGTTTCTTATCAGAACGTAAACCTGTAACGTCTCTCCCCATCACCTGCAAGAAGAAATATACAGAATAAAAGCTTAAAAATGCAATCCCTCAAGGGTAGATACTCTTATAACTTGTGACTCATAGATGAAAGGACTATAGGACATGCAGAAATAAAGTCATTACACACTTCATTGTTTGATCACAAACCAAAAAAGATAAACAAATAACTAAATAAAGTGTAACGCATACATTGCTAACCCCAAAAGGAAGAAGAAAGAACGAAGTCCCCAGGAATAATCTAAAAGTCAGAACCAAGTGATAATATTACAAGCTCAGACCTTAGTCCAGAGTAAAACATATTTAGCTTTCTGAGGACAGAAAATGTTCAGCTGATCAGGCAAAATATTTCCATCTATATAGTAATCACAGTTAGGACAGTAGGAAGAATTAAAGCAAAGGTGCAAGCGAAAAATAACGAAACAACAGGAGTCTCCGGTGACCTGCTTTTAGATCCCAATAGTTCAGTTATTTTGTTTCAGTAAAGCAGTCCGAAGAATTAGCATCTACCTAGCAAAGCAAGATTATATTTCTGAATGGAGAGAGAA